GCAGCCGATCTCAGCGAAGACGAGCTAGACGCAATCGTGCCAGGAGTCGGTGGACCGCTGGGGCAAGTGATCTTCAACATCGGCAAGTACCAGAAGGCCGGTGCTCTCATGACCTTCAAGAGTGCCTACGAGAACGACAAGAAGTATGTAGCGTGGGTTCGGAAGTTCGTGAAGGGCAAGAGCGTACAGCCAGACAAGAGCAGCCACCCAACCATGACACAGTTCAGACTGTACATCGCTCTACGAGACCAACGCAAGTCACAACGCCTGCAGATGAACCCAGAGGTATCTCAGCAAATGGTGCAGCTACCTACGGTGATGAGGTCGCAGCCAAAGGCCAGGCCAACAGCAACCACACAGCCGAGAGTCGCAGCAAGGGCATCGGGAACCACGAGGATGGCAACCACGCAGGGTGCCATGAGTGCTGCATCGTCGGTGCAGCGAGTGCCAGTGGCAACGACATCGGAAGCCAATGTGTGGGACGACCAGTGGTTGGTGACGACGGAGCCCGAGGGCGAGGCGACGGTCGAAACGCCTCTGGACCGCCGTCGTCGGCTGGTTCGCGAGCAGATCGAGATGCTGACCCTCCAGCTGGAAGAGCTGCAAGAAGCCGAGGACCTGTGAGGTTCAGCACCTCAGACGAGGAGGTGATTTCTACTATGAGCAATGCTGAGCGCAAGCTGTGTAGGCGTGGGGTGGAAACCTGTTCCCGGAAGCCAGTTGAGCTTTATGGTGTTCATGAGGGTGTTGATGTTGTGGTTCTTGAACAAGGCTCCGGTGAAGAGGTGCTCACGGCAGTAGGGCTTAGCGTGAAAGTTCTGTTCCAAGAGCTAACTCCTGGAATGATCCGGAGCTCTGCCACGGTCGAGCGAGCTGTGAAAGAGATTCAGAAGCTGAGTCCGAAGCTGCTGGTAGTTCGTCCTCCCGATCATATGACCAAGACCCGAGGTAGTGCTGCTATGGTGAGAACGTATCATGCCAAGCATAGGGCTGCCTACACACGTTTGATTGCTGCTTGTTGTGCTGAACAGTGCTGTGAGGGTCGCTTATTCTGTGTTGAAGATGTGAACGAGAGCATGAGTGACCGAGTGAGACAGTGGAAGAAGCAGCGCTGTGATGAGAACACGTTGGCTGTTGAGAGAGTGGAGAGTGATAACATGTGGAGAGCGTTCACGAACAGCAAGCATCTTCAGCAACAAATGCAGAAAACGTGGTTGAACATGAGCGAGTTACAGGATCCTAGGTGTTTCATCAAGGATGTGGCCACAGGACTGATGAAGGCAAAACAACAAGTTCACGAGGTTCATGTCGCCCATTGTGTGTTTACAATCGAGGATTTGAGAGGAGAAGGAGCCCAGGATGATCGTCGAGTCATGACTATTCTTAGGCGCTGTCATGAGAACTTAGGGCATCCGTCACCAGCACGCATGAACATGTTGCTTAGAGCTGCGCATGCGAGTGAGAGAGTCCTGAGGTTAGCCAAGGGGTTGCGATGTGAGACGTGCGATGAGTTGTCCAAGCCTAAATCACATCATGTCACCAAGCTTCGCAAGGCTACGGAGTTCAATCAACAAGTGTGTGTTGACACGCTTGAGCAAGAGGTGCGTGACATGAAGGTCCATTTTCTCAACATTGTCGATGAGGCCACAGGGTATCAGATGGTGGCTCCGTTGTGGAAGGGCATGCAGGCCAAACATGTGAGAAACTCCTATAGGAAAAACTGGAAACGATGGGCAGGCCCCCCAGTGAGACTGTTCTGCGATGGTGGGAAGGAGTTTGAGGGTGAGTTTGAACATGGGTTGTCCTTGGATGGGACTTTCTGTGATGCGTCAGCTGCGTACTCGCCTTGGCAAAACGGTTTAGCTGAGAAGAAGGGTGATGTTTGGAAGGTGGCGTTTTCCAAGGCCCAGGTTGAGGCAAGGCCACGTAGCAAGCAGGAGGCTCAGGAGCTGATTGATCAGGTGACGTGTGCTGTAAATAGCATGACACGAAAAGACGGGTATGCTCCTAATCAGCATGTGTTCGGTCGTGACGTTCGCATTCCAGGTCTTGTCAGTTCGGATACGGACCCAGTGATCAACTCTGCACTTGCTCAGGGTGAATCGATATTTGAGAGACGAAGTGCCTTTCGGTCAGCAGCAAGGAAGGCTTTCCTCG